TCTGATACAACCAATTTTTTATGTATCTTAGAGAAATCTACTTCAACTGACTCTTAGTGACCATTTCTTATTCGACAGTCTGACAAATATACTGCAAATATGAAATGTTGGGAAGATGTTAAAGTAAAATATACGAAGACAGAAGCAAACAGTTGTAATCGTGAAAGGCAATAGCTATGATCGCCGACGAACGATGTTCATTAGCTACACTTTCCAAACATTTAAATTCCAAACTATATTTGTTTTGTAACAATTCGCGATTTCCCAATTCCGTTCGCTTGCGCAACAAGTTGTTAAGTTTTTAAGACTATAATTAAAATTATTATATAAACGCGGTGCATCTTACTAATCTTACTTTTTATTAATATTTTAAATGCGAATATTTGGATGGATGGATATTTGTTTGAAGGTATCTCCAGAACAGCTGTATGGATCTAAATGAAATTGGGTATAGTCTGGAAGAACATGGAGGCTACTAAGTTTTTTTTTTTAATACCGCGCGGACGGAGTCGCCAGCGAAAGCTTGTTGTTTTATAAAAGAAAAGAATTTGTAATTAACTGTATGACACTAAAGACAAAATATTTTTTCTTACAAAATTTCAGTTTGTAAATCAGTTTCTTAAGGTGTCAATTTTCGGTCTAACTAATAAAGTTGATTTTAATTACAGGCAATTACGGTCAGCCATTAGCCACGCCAATGACGACATTGCCTCAGAAAACGTTTATTACAGCGCCTCGTACATAATCTTATCTATATAGAATCTTGAAAATGTATTCATCTACATTTTGTAATAGTTCTAAAATTATCTACAAGGAAAATAACCTCTGATTTTAGCCATTTTACATTTAACTGCGATAATTATTGTGCAATTTAAAGAATCTTAATCTTTAAGAAATCTTACTAATATTATAAATGCGAATGTTTAGATAGATAGATGGATGGATTTTTAATTCCGCGTGGATGGTGCCGCAGGCGAGAGCATAAAGCAAAGTTTGAACCAACTGGAGTCGAAAAACATTTGTTAATTTATAAATCTTCTCTTTGCTTATATTTTGAACTCAATAACCATGTCGTAATAACTCTATTATGCTATGATAGAACGTCATTGGTAAATTCTCGAACCCATTAGGATTTTCTTGCTTAGAAATATAAAAAATTTAATTGCTTAAAAATTATATTTTAATTAATAAAATTTCTTATAAATACTTCATATTTATTTTACTTTGTTGTATCAAAAATCGACCAGGAATATTAATAATTTTTATGGTTAAATCGTAATATAATCCTTGCTGGCTTTTCTCACGTTGCAGAATGTTTCCCTCCATTAAATTCATATTATAATACACGGAATAGTAGATTACAGTAGCCGCATCTGCTTTTAGAAGATAAAATTACAGATCCCGTTAAGAAGTACAGCTTAAGTGAAAGCCGAAAGTGAGGAGAATGAGAAATTGCGGTAATGCGAACATAACTGTCTTATGGTGAGATGCATTCCTAAAATTAGTGTAAATTGATTTTATCTTTTGATAAACAAGATGACTATTACATCTTACAAAATACCACAAGGATAGCGACTTGCAAACTGCTATATGTTTTACTACCTGCAAACGAGACTCTGAAGCGTTGAATAAAAAAAACTTAGTCAGTAGCCTATGTGTTCCAGACTATGTTCTACAACTGTACCAAATTTCAATATCAACAAACATACAGCCATCCATATAAATTTTCGCATTTATAATATTAGTAAGATAATCTACGATAAACTTTAATAAAGGCAGCACAAAAACATGTAAAATATAATATTAATATTACTACCATCTCCACTAATGGTGTAGCAATCAGATCGAGAAAATGACGGAAGTCGTGAGAAGTGTCACTGCGAACGCGCCTCGAAAGCAGGTAGCATCTGTATAATTGTTGTGTTCCATTGTTGTGCTTCCACTTGTTACTTGTGCTGATTGTAAGTTTTCACTGACGAAACATCTGTACGAAAACACATTGTCGCCCTCAGGTCTTTGAAAGAATTTAAAGCCCGCTACACACCTTCAGTTTTAACAGTCCGCTTATTCAATTTAAATTGAAGGTGTGATGCGAGCTTAACATGTTTTCCTACAAATTGTTATGATTCTCAATTGTATAATTTCTAAGTAAATAAAAAAGTGATTCCTGTTTACTTTATCTATTTTTTTCATCAATGTAATCCGTACAAAATGAGATCCTGGGAAAACCTAAAGATTTACCAAAGGGACGAAGTTTTTTTCGACAAAATGACTTTACCGTTTAGTCAGGGAATAATCGTGACGTCCGGTCTTTCGGCAGGTAGCTAGGCCACGGAAATGTATTCAAGAGTTTTTTTTGACGACCACACATATAGGACAATTGTTTTCTTAATTAATATATAATATACATTTTTGTACAGTTGTTTCTACGGTGTAAACTATTGCAATATATTTTGTTTACGTGCCTGTAAAATTAAATTAAGTTTTATTGAAATATGAAAATATAGTTGAATGGAAAAAAAGCCTTTGTAAATGTTATATACATGAAGCAATTCCAACATTACCGGTTTTTATTTTGAACGTACAAAATTTTACGGTGATTGAAAATTGTTTGTTCGTTTTTTTTTTCATTCGTATTCATTTTTTTACGTTTTCACATCTAGTATGTAAAGCTTTTTCAAGCAAAAACCTGTATTTTACGATGTGATACCGTGTTTTTCTAAATAACTTCCTATACAATGTAAAAACCATTTAGTGTGTAATGAGTAGAATAAAATAAATAATAAACATATTAATATCAAAATTTATGTTATCAAATTATTAAAATTAAGAGAAAATTGCTGTTTAAATTGAAGTTTATCAAGATTCAAAAATTCAACAAAATATGTCGTACAGAAAAATTTAATTTTAACTAGGCGTTGTACCCTCGGCGAACAAGATCGGAGCATGTTTACATTAGTAATATGCAGGGGCTTGGTCAGACTTCCGCCGCACACATTCTCTGACAAATTTTCGTCACTTTCACAATTCGATTTCTCTCGCACTTTACGACTAAGACGCATCATCGAACTGTTTAACTTGAATAATATTCAAATTTCTAACAAATTTATCGACAATGTCTACCCATATTTGTCAGGCTACGATAGAATTAACATTTATGTTTGTGACTTTTTAATCCAGTTTTTCCTATAGTTCGTTTTTTTTATAACAGAATGGGGCAAACGAGCAGCGGGAACACCGAGGTGGTCAACGACGCCCATGGACATCAGCAATGCCAGAGGAACCGCAGATGCGTTGCCGGCCTTTGAGGTGGTGATGGCTCGCTTCTTGAAGGATCCTAAGTCGTATTTCTTACATATTTTAATATTACAAATTATTAACTAAACTATAGTTATCTTCTACTTACAACGTTATATACATACTTAAAGAAATCCGTCCCACTCAATCCCTTTAAAAAAAACAGAGATATCATGTTTAGTATAGCAACGGTAACAGAAAAAAAATGTTTTGTCCCTTAGTTTTGTTCAAACGCCTTTTATAGCTGATAGTTGGCGGTCTTATTTTTTTAAAGCTTTAAAACTATACTGTTATAGGGTTTCAAAAAACAATAGTCATATTATTATACTTGCACAAATAAAATTCCGATGACATATTTTGGCTATGACTAATAGACGTAATGATAATGAACTAATGCAATCAGTTAATGATGTCAGTTAATAATTACCAATAATAATGATTTATACTAATAATGATATTAGAAATATTCGTCAAATAATAATGTCTGACCTTTTATCGAATCCCGCAACTAACGGATTTTTTTTAATCATACAGAATTTTAACACCGGCAACCTTCCTAATTAAAAAAAAATAGCTATCTCGCCAAAGACAATCAGTCACAGAGTTGATAAATCTTTTGGTTAGATGTAATAATGATTTTACGGCCATAAATACAACATGTCTTCAGAAAACACATAATTCTATTATTGCAATATCTATAACACCTATATCTAAAATATCTGAGCAGGTACTCAAAGAACATAAAAATAAAACAGGCATATGCCACAGTCCAAGATACGAAAGATAACAATAGCCCATACAAACACAACTACAGCTAAGTAAAAGCAAAGATTCTTGTATCGCAAAAAATTGTGTCGTCTCGATACAATCTGATACAGTATACAAAAACTTTGGTACAGATAATAATCAAATTAAGCGTGAAATGTTCCAATTGTAGCCATTCTGGGTTTTGTAATTGCAGCATTATTGTAGTGATGCGCCTCTGTTTTTGTTCGGATGTATCGATAAAATCTTGGCATGCTATAATGAGTTCTTTCGAATGGTTCTTTTGTTAGATATCCGTAATAATTGGGTCGGTTGTCTTTATCTCCACGAATGGATGCACAGGAGCGCACGGTGCAGCACGGTGCGGTACAGTTAGGCACACGTTCGTGTCATTAATACGTGCATATTTATGCGTGCCGTGTCTACTATAACGGTCTCGTGGCAAGGACTCGATACTATGTGTTACGGCAATCGTAGAACCACGTTATATCAAACGATTTTATCGTTTTATCTACATGTATGCACGTATGCAATGAATTATAAATAGTGTATAGATAAATATGTTTATATTTTTTAACACTTTCTGTTCTGTGATTTCATTTACACGTTTTCTTTAAAATGATTGTATCACAGTACAGGGCTGTTAAAAACAAGTTTTGTTGACGCAGCTTCACTAGACGAAAATCAAGGCTGTTGCGCTTTTTAAAGAAAGTTAAAATCATTTGGTAGGTACATGCATAATATGAAAATGGTATTTTTATGTCATTTCAGATAGATTAACGACTTTATTTTGACATTAGACATTAGCGATCAGTACATTGTATACTACCCGAAATAACAAAATTATTGAAAATACCCTCCTAATGTATGACGGTTGAAGAATAATATATGTAAGTAAGAGAATAAAAAATACATAAAAAGTGTAGAATTATATTTACCTGAATATTACTCCGTTTAACTTCAATGTATAACCAGTTGTCTGTCGAAAACGCAATGGCCATCAAAGCAGCAGCCACGATTGCTGTAATGGTCGCTATAGACAGAGTTACCGCTGAGCAAGGCATTTTTACAATCTTTTAAAAGATTAATTTAGAAGGAGCAGAATAGAGTAGCACAATCACAACACTATGTTTATTCGAATAGTTCACCTATGCAGCATTTTTGAACACACTTAATAGGAAGAAGAACACGACAGCACTCTCACAATATAAAAAAAAAACTCATATGAATGCGGTCATCGCCTGCAGCACACCGTGTTCGCGCGCGACACTTCGCCTACTTCGCTTTTGGTCTGCCTTGTCTTGTCTTGCCGCTCTCTTGCGGATGTGAAACTTTCGAAAGCGAACAACTCCTCCAAGTGGCGGGAATGTTAATTAAAAAAACCAGTTTTGTGATGCCAAGTCTCAAAAATTCCTACCAAATTGGTAGCTATCTGTAAATATTAAGTGTGTCAAAAATATATTTAGGAATTTTGAATAATTTAAACACAATTAAATTTTATTTAATCAGAGATACCCTGAAACGGACACAAGTACTTTTCCTTAATCGACGTGAGTGTATACCGTAAAATCAAAATGAGCAAAGTAAACTAATATGTTTCTGCAAACTGGGAGTTGGACAAGAAACTTTTCTGTATGCACCATTATAAAAAAAAAATATGTCTATAGGAATAAGGTATCTAAAGTTAGACAGTTACATAGTTTATAAATTTTAAAAGTAAGTAAAAAATATGGTTAGCATATTGTGATGTTTATAAAATCATTTCAATGATCCTTGACCAAAACTCTGCTAGGACAAAAAAGTTCCAAGTCCTACTAAATTCTGTAAAATGTACCAAAAACTAATCACAAATTGTAATAAAGCTAGCAACACCAATGTAACAGACGTCAGAAAATAAAATCGATTTGTGTTTGTATTTGTAGAAAAACCCGCTGTTTTAATTATTAAATTGAATATGTCAGACAGTAATAATATAGAAAAATATGATGATGTACTAACATCAATTTTGGTCAATGAAAAATCAATATTGGGATTTCTATCTTCTATTTTCAATTTTTTAGCACGAAGGTGAGAATATCACAAAATCCTTTCTTTCTCTTATCCTACGAACTTTTATTATTCCTAAGTCATTTCAAATTAGTTTATAAAGGAATATTAACATTATAAATTATTATTGTATATTTAAAGTAACAAAATGTTTTGATGTACTGAGTTACACTTTCTATATTCCCAGAACTGATTTCTATTATGTTCCTGAAAATAAATATGAAAACATGGGATTTCCGCCGGGGGTTGCTGAGGAATTAGTAATTAAAGTGTTGCGATCTTGTGACCCAAAGAATTATAAATCCAGTAACAAACTAACATCGGAGATAAACAATGAAATCATGTGTAATACAGTAGCTGAGGAGGTCGAGGTAATAGCCGAAGATGATTCTACACCTGAAAATGATGAAAATACTCAAGATGCAGCTCATAGTAGTGGTGATTGCTCCCAAGATAGAACGACAAATGAAAACAAAGAACAATTAGAAGACAAGAGTAATTTCCCTGAAGATTATAAGCCACCAGTAATACCAGTTCAGAAAAACAGTGAATCTTATAATGGAGCTGTGCGGGAAATGTACACATGGGCTCAGACAATAATGGAATTAGGTATTACTTAACCCATCTCAAATAAACATATGTCCCAAGAAAGAGATCCCGTAGCAGCAACAGTTTTTTTTGCAAAAATGCTGACTCTGATACAATATCAGTACAAGAACTCCTTCTCATTGACGTTTCAAATGTTTCAGATTTATATTTAAATTTCTAGTATCTTTATTTTTCAGATGTAACCATAAAACTTCCGCCAAATACAAAATCAAAAGATTTGAAAGTGGCCATAAATAATGGTGACATTTGTATACAACATCGGAATGGAGAGGTCATTATAAAAGATAACCTGCCTTATAAGATCAAAGCAAATGATAGTGTTTGGAGCATAAGTGAAGGAAAACTATTAATTCATCTAGGTAAAGTTTGAACCTTATTTAGGCAACCATGTAATATTTATTGTCCAGTTAAAAATATTAATACAGAGTGAAAAATATTGGATGATAATATTATAATGTAATCTACATTTGTTTATACGAAGGCTGCTAGTTATTGCTTTATTATGATGGTTGACTATTCATTTAGGTGGATATATTGATATAAAACAAAAATTAGTTCCTTTAAAAAAATTATGATCTATGCACCTACTACTTTTGTGTCTTGAGATATAATTAAAAAAAAAACACTTATGTACCAGTTCTTAAAATTTATTTATACTTTTTGCTTTACTGTAATGTTACAGAAAAAGTACAAGAGCGTTGGTGGGATAGATTTCTGAGTGGAGAAGAACCGATTGATTTAAATAAGATTGATGCTTCAAGGCCACTAGATGAACTGCCCGAAGATCATATTGCAAAGGTAAATTAATATTATATTAAACTAGAAATTAGTTTTGTATTCATCCTTGTTAAGTTTTTGAAATTTAGTTAAGCTTTCCCATTCCCACATTATTTACGAAATGATATATTAAAATTACTAAAACCTTATCTCACAAGCTTTATATCTTTTGTCTATGAAAATAAAAACATATTATCCTAGTATATATTATATTTGATTAGGTTCGTGAATTACAATGGAACCAAGAACAGAAGTTAAAAGGCTTACCAACTAGTGATGAAATCCGTAACATGGAAATATTAAAAAAAGCTTGGAACGCTGAAGGGTCACCTTTTAAAGGACAAGAATTTGATCCAAGTGTACTTCAAATACAATAAAATGTATAATTTTTTGAAAGAAAATTTTATTTCAAACAAAAATACTCTTGAGTTTTATTTTAAAATCCTGATAAAACTAATTTTCCAACTAATCGTTTTTCTTCTATGAGTCTATGAGCCTCTCTTAAAGTGGCAGCATTAATTGGTGACAAAGTTTTTGTGACCGTAGGTCTTAGTGTTCCATTGTCAAACATTTTTGATGCAATTTTTAAGATCTCATTATGTCTTGCTTTATCTTTGGTGTCATAGTTCATTTTTGTGGCCATCATCTCAGACACTAATGCTACTTTTTTGTCTTTGAGTGGCTTTATGTCTACCAATCCACTATTATCAACAATGAGACATATTTTTCCTTTTGGTTTAATAGCTTGTATCAGTACATCCCAATAAGGATAAGGATTATTATTAACTAAAATGAAATCAACACCATTGCCAAATCCTTTAGCTTTTAGTTGTGGAAGCAAATCTTTTGTGTGATTTAGCACAATTTGAGCTCCATTTTTTCTTGAAAACTCTTCTGTTTCGAGACGTGAAGCTGTTCCAATCACTTTGAGTTTCAAATTAGCAGCTAACTGTGTAGCTATGGAGCCAACTCCACCGCCACTGTTTATTATAAGTAGGGACTTGCCTTTATCTTTATGCGTAAGTAAAAGGCGATCGTAAAGTGCTTCAAAAGCTGCTACAGTTGTGAACGGCATAGCAGCTGCTTGTTCAAAGGTCAGGTTTTTTGGTTTTGGACCAATAAATATTTGATCGAGAGCTACATATTGAGCATTTGAACCATTTTTACGTAGGTCTCCCGTGAAATATACATCGTCTACTAAATTAAAAATATTTACTTCTTTGCCTGTAGCGACAACTGTTCCGGCCCCTTCCCAACCGAGAATTCTTGGATAAGTTTCAATGTAAGGCTTAGGAGCTCTGATTTTTGTATCTATAGGATTAACTGAAATAGCTTTTACTTCCACTAATACTTCAGTTTTTGTCACTTTTGGTAATTTTAATTCCAAATCGATCAGACTGTTCTCATCAGATATTGGCAAATATCTGTATAAGCCGACCGCTTTCATAGTCTGTTGAAATTTTCCTGAAACCATCGGCAGTATTTTCGTCATCGTTGCATTTTCTTGGACTTCATCTTCTTGAAGATTAGCGCGACAATTACTGTAGTATAATAATATCAAATTCAATATCCAGCAATAAAAAATCATTGTTCCCCTTAGCCACAAATTCTAAAGGTCTTTTTAAATTTTGTATCTAGGTTTGCAACTGCTTTACAAAGACATGGAGTGTGTTGTAGAACACTCCAGCGAAGACTACGCTATGAATGACGGCTCACAGTTTTAAATAGGTCAAGTTTAGGTAATTTAGGCGGTAACAATGGATTTAACATACATATAGATAGCCTGCGAATGAAACAGGTAAGGCTAGGTCTACACATCAAAGTGTGCTCAAAGCGTTTGTGGAAAATTGTAACGTTCGAAATAATTATACATTAAAAAAGACGTAATATTCGAAATAATCACTGCCAAAATTATTTTATGTTACGGCTCGTATACATCCTCATTAAACATTATTTTTTTAAAATGTCACGTTTATGTGTAAAGGTTCCCCTTTTTTCTGAACTATATAAAAATGTATGTATAAAGATAATCAGAGTCTCCCTATTTTGAGCTTTCCTAAAATATGATTCATCGCAGTTCTACCGTTCAAATGTATACCCACCTTTAGTCTGCTCTCAGTCGGTTGAAAACAAACTAAAACCTGTGTTTAAATTCCTTAAATTCATCTCATGTTATTATTTTTGTAAGAGTCAGAGGTTCGTACAGATTTCACTCGATGTTTATAACACGCGGTGAATCAAAGCTATTAAGTACGTGGATACTACACGAATAGTTATTTTATTATAGCTTTCTATTTCTGCTGCTTTAACTTGTTTTCCGCGGGAAATTATGTGCGTCCGTTTCATTGTGACATCTTCTTGACTCTTCTGTAAATTGCGATAGGAGTTATTTAATAAAAAGTATTATAATTTGTTACAAAATTTAATTAAAATAACATATTTTATTTTAAAATCCTGACAGAACCAATTTTCCAACCATACGTTTTTCTTCTATAATTTTATGAGCCTCTCTTAATGTGGCAGCATTAATTGGTGACAAAGTTTTCGTGAGTGTAGATTTTAATATTCCGTCATCAAACATTTTTGACGCAATCTTTAAGATTTCATGATGTCTACCTTTGTCTTCAGTATCATATTTTATTCTTGTGGCCATCATTTCTGATACCAACGTTATACTTTTGTCTTTAAGAGGCCTTATATCTACCAGTCCACTGCTATCAACAATAAGACATATTTTCCCTTGAGGTTTGATAGCTTTCATCATAACATCCCAATATGGATAAGGATCGTAATTCGCTAAGATGTAATCAACTCCGTTACTAAATCCGTGAACTTCCAGTTGCGGAATTAAATCGTGGGTGTGTTTTATAACCACATCAGCTCCATTTTTCTTTGAAAACTCTTCTGTTTCGATACGTGAAACTGTACCTATCACTCTGAGATTCAAATTAGCAGCCAACTGTGTAGCAACGGAGCCAACTCCACCGCCACTGTTTATTATAAGCAGTGACTTACCTTTATCTTTAGCTGATAATAAAAGACGATCATAAATTGCTTCATATGCTGTTACAGTTGTAAGAGGCATGGCAGCTGCTTGTTCAAATGTAAGGTTCTTTGGTTTTGGTGCAACAAATAATTCCTCGAGAGCTACATATTGACAATTTGAACCATTCTTGGATATATCTCCCGTAAAGATTACGTCATCTCCTGTATTAAAAACATTAGTTTTAACACCTCTGGCCACAATTGTACCTGCCCCATCCCAACCGAGAATTCTTGGAAAACTTTTTATTTGAGGCTTGGAAGCTCTAATTTTTGTGTCTATAGGATTGACAGAAATCGCTTTTACTTCTATTAAAACTTGATTACTTTCCAGTTTTGGAATACTTACTTCCAGATCAATGAGACTGTTCACATCTGATATTGGCAGATATTTATAAAACCCAACAGCTTTCATAATCTTAGGCAATGTTCCGTAATTAATAGGAACAATTTTTGCCATCATTATATCTTTAATGTCTTGAAGGTCAGCTCGACATTGACAAAAAAATGATAATTTTATAAAAGCCAGTAGCCAGTTAAAAAAAATCATTGTTTATTATGCTAAAATATAAAAATTATGTACTTTATAAACTACTTTTTATTTTTAAAAACAATTTAGTACGAATGTAAACCAATGAAAATAGAGTAACGGTGTTGTTACTCTTATTTTCGTTTGTTTATAGCATTCAATGGAAGTCAAGGCTATAAAAGTACTATAAAAATAATAAGTATTTTATCAAAACATTTTCATAGAATCAATGATTTTTTTTCATACTGTGCAAAGGGCCAAATGTCTTTTTTGTCACGTAAATATTGTAAAACTTAAACTCCAATCGATATAAAATATCGACTTTAACAATTAATTCAAAATAAATCGATTGTAAAGTTTGTCTTACGGAAAACTATGTAAAGGATGATAATTAGGTTAGGATCCCGCAGTTAGGTTAGATGTCAAAAACTTTTGGTCGAGAAATTTTATCGACGGTTTGTGGATTTTAGCAGAAATAAGAATTAATGTCTTTTGCACTGACTTCAATAAATATACGTTTAATAAAGTTCAGTGATTAATACTAAACGATTAAAATCTAACAGAATCTACATTTAAAAGTATTGCCATATCCTACGGTAGCGCCATGTCTGGGTGAGTTATAAATAAAAATTCTAGATAAAAAAGAACAAGTTTCTCGTTAAAAAATAAAATCAAAGAGTATATAAAATGAATAAAATTAACAAAATATAATTGCTGAAACGTTTATTTCAAATTAAGTAGGAATATGTTTTCAATAATCCATTATATTCGATTAAACATAATATTACAAGCAGATCGATGTATATCACAGAGTATGCGTAACAATTCACATTATGCAAAATATTTTAGTCATAGCATTTAGAGAGCCAACACCTAACGAAGTGAAAATTACACTGTGATAAAATAGGTACAGTTTGCTGAGATACGTTCTAATGTTCATAATAATCACTCTAATTACAAAAGAAATCTTCAAGAATATTTAAATATTAGGAGCATAGTCATAAAATATAGACTATCCTAAACGGTAGTCATGTTTTTTTGTATGATACATTGGATAAAAATTTTCTTTTATATCTAATTTTGTTTTAAAATAAAATGTTACAAAACACTTTAACAATATTTTATGATGATTTTTCTCCAATAGCTGCCAAATATAGTACAGTCGGTTTTTTAGGATATGGCAGTTACTATATGATATGAGACAATCGATTCAGGTACATGGTATCTCATATTTTAATATGTTTATTTTATTTACAAGATATTATTTATAACACGACGTTTAACATATTAATAGACAAGATCGTTTTTCCTATATTTTTCTTTCGCATAGCCGAAACATTTACATTAAAATTTATCTTTCTCTTTTTTCTGTGTATGTTTCGTAAAACACTTACGATGTTTTTCTGTGATTGTTCCGTCTTGAAAAGCATGTTTTTATGTGAATGTTCCGGCACTGTTTAAGTGGTATACTTTACTCTTTTAGTATATTCAAAAATATGTCATAGAATTCATACATTACCATTTTTATATCTAAATTACAAATTACAAGAAATGTTTAATTTGTAACTAACAAAACATCGATGAACGTTAATATGTATTACGTCACTTATAACAACGGAGTTATGCGACCAAAATTAATTTTAGTAATAGACAAAAAAAATTATAGACATTGAGTAGCACTACAGTTTGCTGTTTTGCTACAATATTTGGAATAGTCTCCAAGAAAGTATTAAATAAATTCGACGTTGAACACAACGAACATCAAATGATATGTTCAAACATATTTCTGATAAAACACTTTATCGTTTTCAAAACGTTCATACATTTATAATACTGTTATTTTATCTAAGACAACATTTGTGAATACTTCGATAATTTATTTAAGATTTCGAAAAGACAAATATATTTTTGAAGGTTATACTGATACACTTTGAAATGTCATTTGCAACAGAAATATTTGTATATATTTTGTTAACATTCTAAACAACTATACTAATTTGCTTGCGTCTTAAATATTTACTTAACTACTTTCTGAATATTTCGCAAAACATCATTGCTCGGGTATATGTAGATTTTTCACCACATTTATTTTAAAATCAATACTATTACGTATAAAATATCATTATAAACAATCTTATGCAATATCAAGCATTTATTTTATATAGTTATTGATAGGCACGCGGCAATAAAATTTGTACTAGGAAATATTATAGGAATAAATACTTTCTATTTTACAATGACTAGAAATTACGTAGTGTTTTCATTACAAAATTATATGACTAAAATACAAAAAGAAAAGTAATTATTGATTATGAATAAAAAAAATCATTAAATTTTAGGGATTTTTTTCTCATTCAGTAAAAAAATGGAGTTGCCATATTAATAAATAGCTTTTTACCGGTCTTTGGATTGCAACATCTAAATCTTTTAATATTAATACTCTACCGTAACAAATTCCTTGTTTGAATGTATCCAGTTTATTTACTGAACTGCGTATGCGCAGATGTCATGCGCGCCGGTGCATTCGACGCTGGGGCGATGCGTAGAGTCCCATATACCAGGGCCGCAGCGTTGACACATGCCCGCCAGTGTGCACGGAATACGCACCAGCTGCCGGAATTGATGGAGAAGACCTCGAGCCTTACGTAGAATTAACCGGCCGTCCATGTACATAGCTATGGAAGAATTATTGGCGCTTTATTAATAACACAAGCAACGTATTCTGAATGTATAAAAGTTTTTATATTAAGATTTAATCGCTTAAAAATTTACAAGTGACACATAGCCCGTTTGTCTCCTTATTCTATAAAAAAAGATAGTCGACAAACCAAATATCCTATGTGGTATTCATATTGAATGTCGTGGCTTATCAGCGAATTTTTACCTAGATGTGATAATCGTTTGATATAGTAATTAATAATCTAAAGCAGTAATAAATAGTTATGATGTTAAATTATTAATTTCGATCTTTGAAAGATAAACTGGGCGAGAGAATGAGCAAGAAACTGAAATCACGAATATTCGCGACAATCGTTGTCGTATCATCAATTACGTCAAAATAAATATGAGATTTTTGTTGTACTTTTGTAGATGGCGTGGCGATACGATGACGCTTGTCGCAAATATTCGTGCTAGGTACACTGCTTTATGTCGATATAAATGTTATTATAATAAAAAGCAAACAAGAGAGTGCGGCATTACCCAGCGAACTGAAGTGCAGTAACATTTCGTCTGTGTTGAGGTCCTGAGCGATGACGTCATCAGCGTAGACCGCGATAATAGCGAGGCATAGGAAGAGATGGAAGTAGTCGGTCTGGTAGGTAGCCCAGCAGGCCTCCCACATACGAAGCGCCACAGCCTCCGTGAACTCACGTTTGAAGCATCTGCAACATTGATTCCAAACACATCTATTACTTCAAAGTTACCTACATGCCACCTCTTTTAATCGTCTCTGTATGTCGTTATTCCAGATGCCAAGAACAAAAATGTACATCGTTTATATCTTTGTATTGTCTTTGTCTTTCTTCGAGATTTATTAAACAAACAAATCTGAACTAACATTATGTCATACTGACTATTTTTAACAATGATTAACTTAAATAATTATTCTTAACGTACAAT